TGAGGGCAAGCCTTATTTAATAGTTTCTTGAAATAATCACTCAAGAGCTAGTATGTTTCTTCCACGGAGACCAAACTCCACTTCTCACACTCGACAAATATCTGTTAATAAGCTGTAACAATTTCCTAAGATAATCAATATATAATAGAGTTACCCCCAAAATTCCATTTTCTCTAACAATGTTACGAAAGCCGTAGGTAAGATGTGAACGAAGCGACATGTTCGAGAGAAGGGGAACACAACACCCGTCTTGAAGAAGAATAAAAACCACTCATCCCATCATATCACTCAATAATGATCATTCAAAATTCAAAAACTACTGTCCTTCTACAAAAAACGACAGTTCTATCTAAAACTCCTTCCTGGGGGTGTGTTACGAAAAGACGCACGAGGGATGTGAACGAAGCGCCGACACGAGGGAGCAGACGACGCCGGCTTGAAGAGAGAGTAATGCTGTTTGCAAGTTTTGCTGCTCGAAAATCAACGAATTTCTCCCATGTTTAGTACAAAGGTTTCTAAGATTATCGTTGGATGGTGAGTCCAATGTATGAACGATCGTTTGATATGTGTTTGTAGGGTAGATTTGGTAGTTTATGGCAGAATAATGGTCTAAATGTTGATAGGCCTGTGTATGTTTTGCCGAAAAATATTGCGTATTATGTGAATAAACGTTAAATAGACAGCCCAGGAAACCCACAATCCACAACATCCTATTACATAATCATAAGACATTAATGGATTATTAAATTAAGGGTTTTAAAGTCTTCTGAAAGGGCAAAATGCAGACAAAACCTCCATATAGAAGCTAGACGAGTAGGCCTATCTACACGTAACGCACTAACCTTCAGTGCAATTTTGACTGGAACTTTTTCACCGATTTATTTATTAATTTGTAAAGGCGGTGTTCTGTTTTAATTAGCCTTTAACCCTTTCAAAGGTCAACAGTTTGAAGTCCAATCTGTTAAGAGATGTAGTTTCAGTTTCACACAGCCTTATTGTACAGGTAAACTTTACCTGTATTGGAATGTTGCTGAGATTGATGTATCCTCCGGAGACTAAGTCGAAAAAAAAAAAATGTTTTTCTGCAGGAAATCCAATGATTTCTTAGATTATCGGCGTTGTTTCTTCAGCGAATGAATCGTTCAGGAGATTGAGTACCATTTCTCCATCAACGATCTTGATTTGATAGTCCCGTTAGCAGGTTAGGGCATGAAGTATATCAGGGAAATTATGGGGTACAATGGGCTTAGATAAGAAGAATAAAGATAAAAAATGCGTAAAACTAGCACCAAAAAAAAACACTTAAAATTGGCCAATGAAACTCTACGGATGTAACCACTATCTTTGGAATTATACAGGCTGATGCGGCAGGGGAAAAAAAAACTATGGGAACCCAACCCACTATTCAGCAAAACTCTACGGGAATTCACACGTTGCAAGCCCCCCAAAAAACATATTGACCAATAAACCAACCTAATATATTAATATAAATTGCCGTAACTAGGCATGCCCTTTAGGCACTGCCTGAGGGGAGGATTGATGGGGGGCAGAGCCCCCTAACACCCCCCGGGACACATTCTATCCACCTCGGTATGTACCGTAAGATAGAGCTTCATTCATTCAGTAAAATGATAAACCAAATACCTTTATATTGGGAAACATCAAACTTTCATTGCTTCTTTGTACTGTTGGGATTGCTTTGATTTTAATCACCTTTTTCGTCATTTGGAGCCCTTGATGGGCCCAGATATAAAACTAGGATGGTTACTAAAGTAATTATTCTTCGATGCCACTGTAAAAGTCTTAAAAATAACCCAGAATCAACACAACACTGGAAACACAACAGTTCTCACCGGCATTTTACCTTGAAGTGAGCGCGTGCCATCATGTGACACCTGGCAGCATGAGCAATAAAAAGTGAAACACTCGATGCGCACATTTTCGTATGAGGGTATAGATAAATATTACAATATGTAAATGATGTATAATAGCATTAATAAAAGACCTTAAAGGCATAAATGTGTAACAGCAGACTCTGATAATTAGCCAAATATCGTTTTGACAAGTGCGTAATAACACACAAACTAGTTCAACAATGAAATGCTGCGTTCAAGGGCCAGTGTTGTGTTTTTCTTCGCAAGCTAAACAAGCTGATGGACTTGGAATTTGAAAGGCGAGCACGCGTTATATTTTCATCATTTAGCAGTGACTATAAGGCTGCTGCAGTTTAAACTGTTCTATCCCACTCTATTTCTTCCGCTCTATAAGATGGTGGTGTCCATTTATGTCTATATACGCGTGTCGGTCTCTGTAACATCTACCTAAGATTTGACTGTAGAAGATTTGACACTGTTATGAGCCCCCAATAGGGAAATACGGTGATCGGGAGGGGGTCCGGGGGTGGAGCCCAGTGTTAGGAAGGTTTTTGGTTCACTTGCTGATCTTTCTGATCATTTGTGTGTTTATGGTAGGGTTCCTTTCCTCGTTCTTTTATGCAATGCAGTTTTGAATGTCCTGGGGCTGAATCTTGTATCGGTATTTTCTATTTTCTGCTTTATCATATGAAATTAGATTATTGGCTTGGGATTGTAATTTTCCACTTTCTTTTTGCTCGTTAAAATGCCTACGATGAATGAAATCCCCCCCCCATGTAGAAGTGGTACTGCTTGTCTTCCACTACTTTTTAATTTTCTTCTTATTCTTATTCTTATTCTAATGTTCTTCTTCTTCCTCTTCTTTTTCTTATTCTTATTCTAATTTTCTTCTTCTTCTTCTTCTTCTTCTTCTTCTTCTTCTTCTTCTTCTTCTTCTTCTTCTTCTTCTTCTTCTTCTACTTCTACTTCTACTTCTACTTCTACTTCTACTTCTACTTCTACTTCTCTTTTCTTCTACTTCTACTTCTACTTCTACTTCTACTTCTCTTCTTCTACTTCTACTTCTACTTCTACTTCTACTTCTACTTCTACTTCTTTTCTTTTCTTCTTCTTCTTCTTCTTTCTTCTTCTTCTTCTTCTTCTTTTCTTCTTCTTCTTCTTCTTCTTTTCTTTCTCTTCTTCTTTTCTTTCTTCTTCTTCTTTTCTTTCTTCTTCTTCTTCTTTTCTTTTCTTCTTTTCTTTTCTTTTCTTCTTCTTCTTTTCTTCTTCTTCTTCTTCTTCTTCTTCTTCTTCTCTTCTTCTTCTTCTTCTTCTTCTTCTTCTTCTTCTTCTTTTCTTCTTCTTCTTCTTCTTCTTCTTCTTCTTCTTCTTCTTTTCTTCTTCTTCTTCTTCTTCTTCTCCCTTCTTCTTCTTCTTCTTCTTCTTCTTCTTCTTCTTCTTCTTCTTCTTCTTCTTCCTGTTCTTTTGTTGATATTTCAAAGTGGAATGAGGCAGAAAAGTTTTTGCTTTCTTTCCTATTTCTGTGTTTATTTTTCGTTTTGCATTTATTTTATTTTTAGTTTTGCATATATTTTATTTTTAGTTTTGCACTTATTTTATTTTTAGTTTTGCATTATTGTATTTTTAGTTGTGCATTTATTTTATTCTTGTTTTTTATTATTTGTTTTTTATTTTTTAATTTTATTTCTTTATTTATATTTCTATCATCAGTTTTTTTTTTTTTTTTTTAGATTATTATTCATATTATTTTCTGATGTAAAGTATTTCATGTTTATGTTTTTAGTAAGTTATTTATTTGAATGATTCTGTGTTTTGGTATCACTATGTTCTAACTTGCTTTGATGATTTAATAATTTGCAATGGGTATATTAGCTGGTCACTATAGTTTATTGTGAATTTTGTTGCACTAAGGAACCAAGTTTTTGTTGCACCAAGTAGTAAGCTACCTATTCCTTTATTTATTGTTTTTTTCTTTCTTCTTTCTTTATTTTCTTCTTTCCTCTTTCTCTCTCTCTCTAATGCTGTTTATATTGATACTTTTATTATTATTGTTATTATCAACAACTTTAAATACTGTTATAGGTAGGTCTAGTAATTGACTAAGCACTTGTAAAGTCAACTATGTGTAAACAAAATTAATAAAAGAAATGGCAGGGGACATGGCGTGTATGTGTATTCCATCGTGACGCAAAAGGGTAAAGAATGTAAAGTTAAAATCAAGTCAATTGTAGTTTCTTTTGCATTGTTATTAGACCTTTTGTTGATGATAATGCATTATTGTTCTAGCTAATAAATTCAAGTATGTTTTTGCTCATTTCATTTGATAATTTGGGCTTTCATTTTTGATTGATAACTTGAATGGTATGGATTAGAATGTCTTATGGTGAGATTTGGTTCATAGGTTTGTTCTACATAATATTTTAGTTATTCTTTAGTTGTGTGTGTGACTTATTTATTATCATTTTGCTAATTCCCTGTTTTAATTTGCAGGGTCAGTGTCATAACCTTGGGTGTTGGTGGATTTATACTCACCAAATCAGTTGTTGATGCTCAGCGGAGAGAGGCTATGAAAATTCGAGATCGCATGAGAAACGCAAACACTGGAGAGTACGAAGCCAAGAGAAGTTTCACAGGATAAAGAAACGGCGACTTCTATCAGTGAAATCCATCGGATAGTTTTCCTGCTACACAGCTCTCTGATATAAGGCTGAAAAGCAAAGCCAAAGTTTTGTTTATCTGCGACTAACAAAAACTTAAAAAATGGCTGGTCTACCGGCTCTGAATGATGACCAGATGAAGCTGGTCCAAGACCTGGAGATAGAAATGATGTCTGACATGTACACGAGAATGACAAACTCGTGTCATAAAAAATGCATTCCAACGAAGTACAAGGATTCTGAAATAGCAAAGGGAGAAGCTGTGTGTATTGACAGGTGAGCTTTGGTATTTTGTACTAGTTGACTAAAGGTGTGCAGATTTTAACCTATAGTTCCTTTACTTGTAAATATCTAATGGTTTATAATGTTCTTATCACATGTATTTAACCCATTGGATCCTGGTGCCTTGCAGCCAGCAGAAGGCCCATTTCCAGGTATTAGGTTTACTTGAGTGGTGACTTCCCTGGGTGTGTGGCTTGTAGCCGTGGCCCACATAAATATTGAGGTATCAAGACTCCTCGCTTCCCTTTTGCAATTTTATTGTCACTTTTTCTGTATAAGAATTTTTTGCATTTTTGTTTTTTTCAAAGGTGTATATTTGTCTTTTGATATGCTATATCAAGAAGGTATTAGATTTTTTTTACTTCCTTAGACTCCATATCATCTCTCTAGGTAGTCTACAAATCTGAAATGACAATATTAACATTTTGTTATTTGTGTATTTTCAAAAATATTTTCATTTTAATTTTTCTTTAACACAGCTTGTACCACCAGTCACCATGGGCAGTAACAGCATCCTAAGATAGAAATGGTATCCTTGGAGACAGTGCTCTTCCAAGCAATGGCCATGGATGGTACATTCCACACTCATTTATTAGTGGAAATAATGCAGGACCCCCTTCCTAAATGCCTGCTGTCAAATCTTTCTCTAAGCCCTTAGTGCACTCATGGTAAGTCATTTCCATCACCCTGGACCTCTGCCAAATTTTTCCATGACAGTATATTCCTATCATCCAGCACACTGCCAAATTTCATTATTTGATGGTCAATTCACCAGAATCCAGTGGGTTAACTACTATGATTTGGATGATGTGACTAATAACGTCATGAAAATTTTTGGCTGACATGAACTTGTTGTCATAGGGGAATTTGCTGTCATAGGGGCCAGGTTGATGGGAACCTGCCATCATGAGAATGTTGGCTGAAGGCCGGTGTGACGGGAATGACTTTCGATGTGTACACAAAGCTCTTGGAGGATGATTAAACTCTGTGGGCATTTAGGAAGTTTTTTTTTGCATTATTTCAATTCATAAATGAGTGCAGAATGTACCATCAGTGAGCAATATCTGGAAGAGCACTAGCTCCAGGAAGTATGTTGTTTCCATGCTCAGGATCCTTTGTTATATTACAGAAAATTAATATTATGAAAAATTAGAGAAATGACACGAGTAACAAAATATTATTTGTTATCATTATTGTAAGTATTAGAGATCATATGGAGTCTGTATAAGGAAAACATTCTGTTATCATCTGGATAAAACAAATAAAATGGCATATATAAATATTAGAAAATGAGAAAAAAGCTAAAAATGCTTATGCAGAAAAATAGAGAATAACATTGCAAAGTTGGAATCACGGAGTCTTATCACTGCATACGAGTGTTTCTGTGCTCCCAGTCTGCAAGCTGCACACCTGTCAGAGTGGCCGCTCGAGTAAACCTATTACCCATATATGACATGCCCACTGTGAGTGTAGTTTATTAATTGTTTTTACACATAGATGGCTCCACTAGTACTAAGTCACCATTTAGCCTCTTTAGAGTACTTCACCTGTTTACCCTTTTCCATGATTTTTAGAATATTCTCTGGTATCTTATATTGTGGTTAGTAATGTCAATAACATAATAACTTTATTGACTGTGATAATAACAGCAGCATGAATATCAGGTGAGGTGAGTAGGTCTACTGATTGGCTCCTTGGTGACTAAGTGTTTGTGGAGCCATCAGTGTGTAGACATTTAACAAAACAATACTAAAGTGGACACAACAGTGGTGGGTTAATGTGATAAAAAGCTGGCTACAGGGGGTGATTATGTAAGATTTTAAAAAATATTGTGGAGTATATTTGTTGATATTACTTTTTCCTCTTATCTCTATATTAAGTTCATATGTACAGCTGCAGAGCATCACTTTTCTTATGTAAATTGTACTGTATGTGAAGGAAACCTCTCTTCTGCATTTCAGATGCGTGGCAAAATACTGGGAAATCCACGAACGAGTGGGTAAAAAGCTCCAGAACATGTCAACTCAAGACGAAGAGGCTTTGAAAAAGATGGCGGCACAACAGGGTCTTGTAAAATAACATTTCTAAATAGTATAAACTGAATTTTGTATAGTGTTGCAGTCAAGTTAAATCAGGGCATTTATAATAGGTTAAAAATTTAAAACATTGTGATCATTATTATTATTTTTTTTATACATTTTGATCAATATTTGTATTCATAACTTGTCTTTTGTTTTATAAATGCATTAGAACAAAAATTAACTTGGTTTATATCCATAGATGTAGTGTACAGTACAGTGTTTAAAATTATCTGAAATAAGATTGGTTTAAAGCTGGGGAGCAATTTTAATAAAAGAGGTAATGGACACTTAAAAGCCTTTGTAAATAAAGCTTTATAGACATGATTTATTGTATTAATTGATCTGAATACATGTTTATTTTCTTGCATAGAAGTGCTGAGAATAATCAAAGGATGCTGTACTTGATAGCTGGTGGTTATTGCAGCTTCCAGCTTTGTACTGATGTCAAAATAGTTTTTCATGGAACTATATAAAACTTAATAATGAAAAGGATTTAAAAAGCAGTATGTTCCACCAGTATTTGGCAAGGTGAGGAAAATGTAGAGTAATAAAAGATGGTTTTGGATATTGGTTTTATTTCAGTATCAAGTTACAAGGATTCGTCTAAGTATTCATTTTAAAATTCACATTAAGGTGGCTATTTACATTTTGCTCTTTGAAGGTTTTGTTTTATTAAAATCATAGATGACAACTGGTAATTTACATGTATTTGTCATGATACTTTTTTATTTTGAAGCCATTAAAAATTTACTCTTTCATTATAGAATTTGTTTCACTTATATTTTCCTGAATTATATAGCTATTATTTATATTCTCAGATTTAATGGTGGAAATTTTATGAGAAACAGTACACTTTTGTATTTCCATATAACTGATTCCGAGTCATCTTAATATTACAACAGGTGGTGCTGGAACAGAAGAGCTGAAGTTTGCTTTCATAGTAGAAAAAAAATTATTATGGATACAAGGCCATAATGCACCAATATTAAGATAAAAGGTGGAAAGCCAGCAATATATAAAGATACGACTCATAATCAAGATTCAAAATCAGTGTTAAATAGTTGTAGCAATTAATTCATTGATTTTTGTTTTCTTTTTGACTGCTAGTTGTGACACTCATATTCTTGAGTATAAGATTACTCTTCTAATATACAGTATTGCAAATGTGAAGATAGAAATAACAAGGATAATAAAAATACATACATGTCTACATGATATATTTGGCAGGCTCAACAAGACAACAAATGACCTAATAATGGATGCATATATACACAGTACACACTGGTAACAGTTGGCAACATGGGCCAGTTACTGTAGAGGAACAGAGCAGAAGGATGAGGTCATGGCAAAAAACTCCTTAGGTTAGAGACCCTTACTAATATATAAGAAAACCTAGTTTTCTGATCTAACATTAGAAATAGGCTTGAATGGAATAGCACACAAGAATCATTTAACATCAACATTGATGTGTTTATTATTATTATGGAGTCCTACACAGAAAAGGAATTAATTTTATCACTATTTAAGTTGGTAGCAATGATTATTCAAGTAATGTGTACTTATGTAGAATTGTCACAAAAATTATATTACAGACAGATAAATCAGTAATAAGATTTCATGTTTACTAGTTGGGAGCTAATGATAGAATTTCTGTTTTACATCTACCATTAGCTACAACACTATTAAGACTTAAGGTAACACATTAGAGTATCAGACACTCAGACTGGAAGAAAAGACAATATATGATGAGCTTCATGCAATTGCACTGTAAAGAGAACAATTGGCAACAGCAAAACTAAAGTTGCCATTAGTATTTCTTACTTAACATGTCTGCATTAAAATCATATAATCAAACATAAAATATGTATGTACACAAGAAATGTCTTCATTTTTCACAATCTTGGCCAAGTTACAAATAGGAGTCCTGATGCTGAAAATACAAAGTAGCTTTAGTTTTGCCACTCCCAAACTCTGCCTGACTGTACTAGTTTAGGAGTAATGTCTTACTCCAGTTCTGAATAACCTAAAATAGTATGCTTTTAAGATCTTAGGATTAATACTGATAACTTTGGCCACAAACGAGACACTGAGAATTATGTACAAGAGCACTCCTTAGAAATATCTTTTACCTCCATTCCATTTTAAGTAGTTGTATCCTTATAAGATCTTGAAAGCTTGTGAGACAAAAGTCACTTTAGTACAAATAATATATTAATACTAACTTCAAGTAATATTCAATTCATCAACCAGGCTTTATGTAAAAGAATACATTTGAAACAATTAGGAAACAATTACATACATGAACACTGAAAATATACATGAATATTCCCAGTTATCTTCCATTATTGCTAAATATGATTAACTAAACTAGAGATTAATGTCTCAACAAATTTTATTTGATTACAGATTCAAAACAAGAAGACATATGTCTGAGATACTTTTACTGCCCTGATATTAATATTCTAGAGCTTTGGCCAATGTTTTAAGGTATCTCTCTGTACAAAGATTCTCAAGCTCTTTTCATCATGGTCTTAGAAACAAGAATAGCTAAAATTTCTAAAGCAACTCATGTTTGATCCATGATATAAAGATGTTCTCAAAGAAAAGGTAAATATTCACACATGAAGGGTTGCTTCATGCACTTGCTTCAGTCTTCTTTATCCATATATTTTCCCTGAAAATCCCTCCCATTAATGCTTCATGTAACACTCAGATACATGAAATAGTAAAATTATCATGATAAATACAGACATCCATCTGCTACACCTACATATACCATCTGTCTTTGGACCCAAATAATAGCTTCAACAGTAGCACAAAGAATAACAAAGTAGGTCGTAGCTTGCAATACAGCAAGCATGTATCACTTGTTCCATGTATTGGATTAATGGAAGCATAAAACAATTTTTAGAGATTTTAGGATACTTAAATATTCTTTCAACTAAACTATTAAATCATTTAGAAAATTCAAATTGTCCATTTAATTGAAAGTGAATTTTAAAATCAATTTTGCCAATAATATTTGCACTTAATTCTAAATTATTTAAAAATCTACCAAAATTGTCTTACAGATCAAAAATCTATTTTGATTTCATGCTAATGTCATGGAATGTTCTGAATAAGCCACCACAACTTCTAGAACTCAGGCTGCAAGAATAGAGACAATTTATATACTACCTAATACAAATAACTTCCAATCAAAAGTTACAAGGAAGATCTTTCAAAGCAAATCTAATGTGAAACTTATAAAATGCTACATGCAGCAGATCTGGCAGTTTTTCATTCTGTGTAAAATGCCTATTCACATATCCCTATCCGTGCAAGGCTTTTTTTAAGGTTAATTCTGTAAGGTAACTCATAGCCTCTGCGTTCACATAAAAATATCCTTACAAAAATATTTATTCAGTTAAAGCCCATAAATCATAATCTAGTGATGTCACAAATGGACCTAGAATTTTATGGGAGCAATGTGCCCAAGAATAGAAGACTTCCTCTGTCGTTGCAAGCAAGACGGAACTATGCCCTACAATAATAGAAAAGCAACATGACACCAGATGACCAGACAGTCAACCGGTAACCCTGTGGACATGACGTAACTAGAAACCATAAGCTAAAATTTCCATATGCACTATAAGGTTTTGAAATAAAGGAAATTTATATCATAGCCAAGAAATAAGGACTTTTTCATTTTTCATGTATCATAAACAGCTGCTAATATTAGACTCTAAAAGAACGATTTTAAATGAGGCACATGTTAAACAAACAGTAATTCAACTATTTCTGGTGTCAAGTTGATAAAACTGTACACACAAAGGGAACTATAAAATGTGTGTGGGAAACATGTGAGAATCTCCCTACATAGCATAACATTCCTTGTCAATTTCATTCAATACTGTTTACATTCCTATAAATTCAGCCTCACTGCCAAAATTTTTCTTGAACTTAGACAATTCTCTTATTGGGAGCCAATATGCAATGCAACTTGTATATTTGATCTTCTTTGGCCAACAGCTGTTTATACTTCTGCCAATAATCTCTTAACATTAATTCTTCAAGTTTCAGACTCCTAATGAACAACCTCTCAGGCAATGCTACCAAGGAGATGCACTTCTAAATCCCACACAACCTACAACATTAGATTGTGTAATTACGCTTCTCCCTCTTTTAAAATAAGTAAAATACTTATATAAATAGACACAACGCCACTCTTGATAGGTATACAGCACTGATACATATTTAGGGTTTTGTATATGATTGGCAGTGTAGGGACACAGAATGTAATAATTTGTGGATGTGGACATGGAATGATATCACATTTCTGATGATTTTCTAAATATATCACAAATGTGAATGTGAAAAATTCATAGAATTCTACCACAAAGGTTAACAAAACCACAAACAGTTTCCCCACACTGCTCAAGATACACATTCCTGTTAACAATTCAGCAAATTTTGCTTACAATAATTTCATCATTTGATTGATGGTATAAAACAACGAGATGAACACCAAACTAAAAGAGGCTTATTAAAGAGGCATGAAAAAAGCAGCTTAGTATGTGCAGCAACTTTAAGCTTTTACTTTAAAGAAATATATATGTGAAAAATAATCCAAGAAACAAAATACTTATACACTCACAAGTATTGTACAAATATTTCACTGTGGAATGAATACCTACTATGCAATTATATTATGACATGTCTGAATATGAAAATAAAAGGAACAACTTTTTCAAAGAAAAAATATCAAGACTTGAGTTGCTATGACTTGGAAGAGATTAATTTTCATAAAAGGAATAAAGGAATAAAAAAAAAAAAAATTATACCATATGCATCTTAAAAAACAAAGAGTGCCTCAATCATCTATGCAAAAATATTCACATCCCAGGTATGGTATCATTCTAGCCACAGTGCGTATGGAGATAATTTGGGAACTTTCTTCATCTTATCCATACCTCTTAGCTTAATACTGTTTAACTATCTTTCCTCCTGATGTGCAGAACACACTGCGGGGCATATGTAGAAAATCATATAAGCCTTTGATCTTAACCTTAACTTTTAAAGATACATAGTGGAAGATAAAAACTACAAAAGCTAATGGTTTTTGACTCATACACATTAAGAGCATGAAAGGTTATCACTACAGACCTGATCATTCACACCGAAAATAAAACCAATACCGTAAGGTGAAGTGGTAGGCCAGATTTTCACTTTCACTATTATGAAGGCTGTTTAAAGAAATACTAATACCTAAAGGAAGTTGGTACTTTGTATATGTGATAATGGAAGAAGGAAATATGAATAATATACATCATGTTATCTTATATTAGCCTGCTTCTTCTTTGGTACTGACACTGGAATTTATCAGCAGCATAGATACTTTTTCATTACTAAAATACTATTAAAGGCTGTAGGGTAGTGATAATACTAACAGGTATCATACATATCATAGCTGATAAGCTCAAGTTTATCATGATAAAAAATCAATTATATATATAACATTAAATTAAATAGAGGAATAGTATTTCTTGAAGTTTCATGAAAGTATAAGGATTTAAGACAATCACAAAAAGTATCAAAATGTTTCAATATTACTGATATTTAGTCAA